CTCTTTCCTGGAGAAAAGCTTTTAATTCCTCTCCTTCGTGACTGTCTCATTCATTTTACATGCTCTTTCCTGGAAAAGCTTTAATTCCTCTCCTTCGTGACTGTCTCATTCATTTTCATGCTTTTCCATGCTTTAATTCTTTCCTTCGTGACTGTCTCATTCAATGCTCTTTCCTGGAGAAAAGCTTTAATTCCTCTCCTTCGTGACTGTCTCATTCATTTTACATGCTCTTTCCTGGGAAAAGCTTTAATTCCTCTCCTTCGTGACTGTCTCATTCATTTTACTTTCCTGGAGAAAAGTTTTTTCCTGGAGACTCTCATTAATTTATGCTCTTTCTGGAGAAAAGCTTTAATTTTAATTTCTTCCTCTTTCCCTTTCGTGACTGTCTCTTCGTGACTGTCTCATTCATTTTCCATGCTCTTTCCTGGAGAAAAGCTTTAATTCTCTCTCCTTCGTGACTGTCTCATTCATTTTACATGCTCTTTCCTGGAGAAAAGCTTTAATTCCTCTCCTTCGTGACTGTCTCATTCATTTTACATGCTCTTTCCTGGAAAAAGCTTTAATTCCTCTCCTTCGTGACTGTCTCATTCATTTTACATGCTCTTTCCTGGAAAGGCTTTAATTCCTCTCCTTCGTGACTGTCTCTCATTCATTTTACATGCTCTTTCCTGGAGAAAAGCTTTAATTCCTCTCCTTCGTGACTGTCTCATTCATTTTACATGCTCTTTCCTGGAGAAAGGCTTTAATTCCTCTCCTTCATGACTGTCTCATTCATTTTACAACTCTTTCTTTAATTCTCTCCTTCATTTTCTCATTCATTTACATGCTCTTTCCTGGAAAAGCTTTAATTCCTCTCCTTCGTGACTGTCTCATTCATTTTACATGCTCTTTCTTGGAGAAAGGCTTTAATTCCTCTCCTTCGTGACTGTCTCATTCATTTTACATGCTCTTTCCTGGAAAGGAAATTCCCTCTCCTTTGACTTCTCATTCATTTACATGCTCTTTCCTGGAAAGGCTTTTAATTCCTCTCCTTCGTGACTGTCTCATTCATTTTACATACTCTTTCCTGGAGAAAGGCTTTAATTCCTCTCCTTCGTGACTGTCTCATTCATTTCCTGGATGCTCTTTCCTGGAAAAGCTTTAATTCCTCTCCTTCGTGACTGTCTCATTCATTTTACATGCTCTTTCCTGGAGAAAAGCTTTAATTCCTTCGTGACTGTCTCATTCATTTTACATGCTCTTTCCTGGGGCTTTAATTCCTCTCCTTCCGTGACTGTCTCATTCATTTACATGCTCTTTCCTGGAGAAAAGCTTTAATTCCTCTCCTTCGTGACTGTCTCATTCATTTTACATGCTCTTTCCTGGAGAAAAGCTTTTTAATTCCTCTCCTTCGTGACTGTCTCATTCATTTTACATGCTCTTTCCTGGAAAAGCTTTAATTCCTCTCCTTCGTGACTGTCTCATTCATTTTACATGCTCTTTCCTGGGAAAGGCTTTAATTCCTCTCCTTCGTGACTGTCTCATTCATTTTTCCTCTTTCCTGGAGAAATGCTTTAATTTCCTTCGTGACTGTCTCATTCATTTTTCCTTCTCTTTCCTGGAAAGGCTTTAATTCCTCTCCTTCGTGACTGTCTCATTCATTTTACATGCTCTTTCCTGGAAAAGGCTTTAATTCCTCTCCTTCGTGACTGTCTCATTCATTTTACATGCTCTTTCCTGGAAAGCTTTTAATTCCTCTCCTTCGTGACTGTCTCATTCATTTTACATGCTCTTTCCTGGAGAAAAGCTTTAATTCCTCTCCTTCGTATTTGTCTCATTCATTTTACATGCTCTTTCCTGGAGAAAGGCTTTAATTCCTCTCCTTCGTGACTGTCTCATTCATTTTTACATGCTCTTTCCTGGAGAAAAGCTTTAATTCCTCTCCTTCGTGACTGTCTCATTCATTTTACATGCTCTTTCCTGGAAAAGCTTTTAATTCCTCTCCTTCGTGACTGTCTCATTCATTTTACATGCTCTTTCCTGGAGAAAAGCTTTAATTCCTCTCCTTCGTGACTGTCTCATTCATTTTACATGCTCTTTCCTGGAGAAAAGCTTTAATTCCTCTCCTTCTGTCTCATTTCATTTTACATGCTCTTTCCTGGAGAAAGGCTTTAATTCCTCTCCTTCGTGACTGTCTCATTCATTTTTACATGCTCTTTCCTGGAGAAAGGCTTTAATTCCTCTCCTTCGTGACTGTCTCATTCATTTTCATGCTTTTCAGGCTTTAATTCCTTTCCTGGATAATTCAACTCTTTCCTGGCCTTTAATTCCTCTCCTTCGTGACTGTCTCATTCATTTTACATGCTCTTTCCTGGAGAAAAGCTTTAATTCCTCTCCTTCGTGATTGTCTCATTCATTTTACATGCTCTTTCCTGGAGAAAGGCTTTAATTCCTCTCCTTCGTGACTGTCTCATTCATTTTACATGCTCTTTCCTGGAGAAAGGCTTTAATTCCTCTCCTTCGTGACTGTCTCATTCATTTTACATGCTCTTTCCTGGAGAAAAGCTTTATTCCTTCTCCTTCGTGACTGTCTCATTCATTTTCCTCTTTCCTTCTTTAATTCCTCTCCTTCGTGACTGTCTCATTCATTTCATGCTCTTTCATTGGAGAAAAGCTTTAATTCCTCTCTTTCGTGACTGTCTCATTCATTTTACATGCTCTTTCCTGGAGAAAGCTTTAATTCCTCTCCTTCATTCATTTTCATACTCTGTCTCATTCATTTTACATGCTCTTTCCTGGAGAAAAGCTTTAATTCCTCTCCTTCGTGACTGTCTCATTCATTTTACATACTCTTTCCTGGAGAAAGGCTTTAATTCCTCTCCTTCGTGACTGTCTCATTCATTTTACATGCTCTTTCCTGGAGAAAGGCTTTAATTCCCTCCTTCCTTGACTGTCTCATTCATTTTACATGCTCTTTCCTGGAGTCTCAAAAGCTTTAATTCCTCTCCTTCGTGACTGTCTCATTCATTTTACATGCTCTTTCCTGGAGAAAAGCTTTAATTCCTCTCCTTCGTGACTGTCTCATTCATTTACATGCTCTTTCCTGGCTTTAAGACTGTCTCATTCATTTTACATGCTCTTTCCTTTAATTCCTCTCCGTGACTGTCTCATTCATTTTACATGCTCTTTCCTGGGCTTTAATTCCTCTCCTTCGTGACTGTCTCATTCATTTACATGCTCTTTCCTGGAGAAAAGCTTTAATTAAACCTTCGTGACCGTCTCATTCATTTTACATACTCTTTCCTGGAGAAAAGCTTTAATTCCTCTCCTTCGTGACTGTCTCATTCATTTTGCATGCTCTTTCCTGGAAAAAGCTTTAATTCCTCTCCTTCGTGACTGTCTCATTCATTTTACATGCTCTTTCCTGGAGAAAGGCTTTGCAATTCCTCTCCTTCGTGACTGTCTCATTCATTTTACATGCTCTTTCCTGGAAAAGCCTTTAATTCCTCTCCTTCGTGACTGTCTCATTCATTTTACATGCTCTTTCCTGGAAAGGCTTTAATTCCTCTCCTTCGTGACTGTCTCATTCATTTACATGCTCTTTCCTGGAAAGGGGCTTTAATTCCTCTCCTTCGTGACTGTCTCATTCATTTTACATGCTCTTTCCTGGAGTCTCATTCAAAAGCTTTAATTCCTCTCCTTCGTGACTGTCTCATTCATTTTTACATGCTCTTTCCTGGAGAAAGGCTTTAATTCCTCTCCTTCGTGACTGTCTCATTCATTTTCATTTTTCCTGCTGAATTTTCCTTGGACTGTCTCATTCATTTTTACATGCTCTTTTTAAGCTTTAATTCCTCTCTTTAGTGACTGTCTCATTCATTTTACATGCTCTTTCCTGGAGAAAGGCTTTAATTCCTCTCCTTCGTGACTGTCTCATTCATTTTACATGCTCTTTCCTGGAAAAGCTTTAATTCCCTCTCCTTCGTGACTGTCTCATTCATTTTTACATGCTCTTTCCTGGAGGCTTTTAATTCCTCTCCTTCGTGACTGTCTCATTCATTTTACATACTCTTTCCTGGAGAAAGGCTTTAATTCCTCTCCTTCGCAATTCCTGACTGTCTCATTCATTTTACATGCTCTTTCCTGGAGTAAAGCTTTAATTCCTCTCCTTCGTGACTGTCTCATTCATTTTACATGCTCTTTCCTGGAGAAAGGCTTTAATTCCTCTCCTTCGTTACTGTCTCATTCATTTTACATGCTCTTTCCTGGAGGTTTAATTCCCTCTCCTTCGTGACGCTGTCTCATTCATTTTACATGCTCTCCTCCTGAAGGCTTTAATTCCTCTCCTTCGTGACTGTCTCATTCATTTTACATGCTCTTTCCTGGAAAGGCTTTAATTCTCTCCTTCGTGACTGTCTCATTCATTTTACATACTCTTTCCTGGAAAGGCTTTAATTCCTCTCCTTCGTGACTGTCTCATTCAATTTACATACTCTTTCCTGGGAAAGGTTTAATTCCTCTCCTTCGTGACTGTCTCATTCATTTTACATGCTCTTTCCTGGAGAAAGGCTTTAATTCTCTCCTTCGTGACTGTCTCATTCATTTTACGTACTCTTTCCTGGACTGAATGCTCTTTCCTGGAGAAAGCTTTAATTCCCTCTCCTTCGTGACTGTCTCATTCATTTTACATGCTCTTTCCTGGAGAAAGGCTTTAATTCCTCTCCTTCGTGACTGTCTCATTCATTTACATGCTCTTTCCTGGAAGAGCTTTAATTCCTTCGTGACTGTCTCATTCATTTAAAGCTCTTTCCCTGCTTTAATTCCTCTCCTTCGTGATTTGTCTCATTCATTTTACATGCTCTTTCCTGGAGAAAAGCTTTGAATTCCTCTCCTTCGTGACTGTCATTCATTTTTACATTTCCTGTACTTTAATTCCTTTCCTGTGAGTCTCATTCATTTTACATGCTCTTTCCTGGAGAAAGCTTTATTCCTTTCCTCCGTGACCGTCTCATTCATTTTACATGCTCTTTCCTGGGAAAGAAATTCCTTTCCTTCATTACTGTCTCATTCATTTGACTGTCTTTCTGGAAAAGGCTTTAATTTTCCTCCGTGACCGTCTCATTCATTTACATGCTCTTTCCTGGGAAGGCTTTAATTCCCTCCTTCGTGACCGTCTCATTCATTTTACATGCTCTTTCCTGGAAAGGCTTTAATTCTTCTCCTTCGTGACTGTCTCATTCATTTTACATGCTCTTTCCTGGAGAAAGGCTTTCCTCCCTCTCCTTCGTGACAGTCTCATTCATTTTAAATTAATTCCTTTCTTGGAGACTGTCTTTAATTATTTCTGGAAAAGCTTTAATGACTTTTCTCTCATTAATTTACATGCTCTTTCCTGGAAAGCTTTAATTCCTCTGCTTCGTGACTGTCTCATTTCATTTGCTCTTTCTGGAAGGCTTTAATTCCCTCCTTTGACTGTCTCATTCATTTCATTTTACATCTCTTTCCAGGAGAAAGGCTTTAATTCCTCTCCTTCGTGACTGTCTCATTCATTTACATGCTCTTTCCTGGAGAAAAGCTTTAATTCCTCTCCTTGACTGTCTCATTCATTTTACATGCTCTTTCCCAAAGGCTTTAATTCTCTCCTTCGTGACTGTCTCTCATTCATTTTACATGCTCTTTCCTGGAGAAAGGCTTTAATTCCTCCTTCGTGACTGTCTCTATTCATTTTACATGCTCTTTCCTGGAGAAAAGTTTTAATTCCTCTCCTTCGTGACTGTCTCATTCATTTTACTTTCTCTTTCCTGGAGAAAGGCTTTAATTCCTCTCCTTCGTGACTGTCTCATTCATTTTACATATTTTCCTGGAAAAGGCTTTAATTCCTCTCCTTCTGTCTGTTCATTTTACATGCTCTTTCCTGGAGAAAGGCTTTAATTCCTCTCCTTCGTGACTGTCTCATTCATTTTACATGCTCTTTCCTGGAGAAAGCTTCCTTTAATTCCTCCTTCGTGACTGTCTCATTCATTTTACATGCTCTTTCCTGGAAAGCTTTAATTCCTCTCCTTCGTGACTGTCTCATTCATTTTACATGCTCTTTCCTGGAGAAAGGGCTTTAATTCCTCTCCTTCGTGACTGTCTCATTCATTTTACATGCTCTTTCCTGGAGAAAGGCTTTAATTCCTCTCCTTCGTGACTGTCTCATTCATTTTACATGCTCTTTCCTGGAAACTTTGAAATTCCCTCTCCTTCGTGACTGTCTCATTCATTTTAAGCTCTTTCCTGGAGAAAAGCTTTAATTCCTCTCCTTCGTGACCGTCTCCATACATTTTACATGCTCTTTCCTGGAGAAAAGCTGCATTCCTCTCCTTCGTGACTGTCTGTTCATTTTACATGCTCTGTCCTGGAAAAGCTTTAATTCCTTTCCTCCAGCTGACAGTCTCATTCATTTTACATACTCTTTCCTGGAGAAAAGCTTTAATTCCCTTTCACTCCATGACCGTCTATACATTTTACATACTCTCCCTGGAGAAAAGCTTTAATTCCTCACTCGTGACTGTCTCATTCGTTTTACATGCTCTTTTGGAGAAAAGCTTTAATTCCTTACCTCCGTGACCGTCTCATTCATTTTACATGCTCTTTCCTGGAGAAAAGCTTTAATTCCTCTCCTTCGTGACCGTCTCATTCATTTTACATGCTCTTTCCTGGAGAAAGGCTTTAATTCCTCTCCTTCGTGACTGTCTCATTCATTTTACATGCTCTTTTCTTTTCCTTTTAATTCCTCTCCTTCGTTGTCTCATTCATTTTACATGCTCTTTCCTGGAGAAAAGCTTTTAATTCCTCTCCTTCGTGACTGTCTCATTCATTTTACATGCTCTTTCCTGGAGAAAGCTTTAATTCCTCTCCTTCGTGACTGTCTCATTCATTTTACATGCTCTTTCTGGAGAAAAGCTTTAATTCCTTCTTCATGACTGTCTCATTCATTTTACATGCTCTTTCCTGGAGAAAAGCTTTAATTTCTCCTTCGTTTGTCTCATTCATTTTACATGCTCTTTCCTGGAGAAAGGCTTTTATTCTTCTTCTTCATTTGATGCTCTTTCCTGAAAGCTTTAATTCCTTCCTTCATTCATTTTACATGCTCTTTCCTGAGAAAGGCTTTTAATTCCTCTCCTTCGTGACTGTCTCATTCATTTTACATGCTCTTTCCTTTCTTTCTCCTTCGTGACTGTCTCATTCATTTTACATGCTCTTTCCTGGAGAAAGGCTTTAATTCCTTCCTTCGTGACTGTTCTCATTCATTTTACATGCTCTTTCCTTTCTTTCTTTAATTCCTCTCCTTCGTGACTGTCTCATTCATTTTACATGCTTTTCCTGGAGAAAGGCTTTAAATTCCTCTTCGTTTCTCATTCATTTTACATCTCTTTCCTTTTCTTTTTCCATCCTTCGTGACTGTCTCATTCATTTTACATGCTCTTTCCCTTTCCTTCGTGACTGTCTCATTCATTTTTTCATGCTCTTTCCTCTTTAATTTCTCCTTTGACTGTCTCATTCATTTTACATGCTCTTTCCTTTTTTTCCTCTCCTTCGTGACTGTCTCATTCATTTTACATGCTCTTTCCTGGAGAAAAGCTTTAATTCCTCTCCTTCGTGACTGTCTCATTACATGCTCTTTCCTGGAGAAGGCTTTAATTCCTCTCCTTCATTGACTATCTCATTCATTTTACACATACTCTTTCCTGGAAAGGCTTTAATTCCTCTCCTTCGTGACTGTCTCATTCATTTTACATATCTTTCACTTGGAGAAAAGCATAATTCCTCTTTCTTCAATGACCTCCCATTCATTTTACGCTCTTTCCTGGAGAAAGGCTTTAATTCCTCTACTTCGTGACTGTCTCATTCATTTGACATACTCTTTCTGGAGAAAAGCTTTAATTCCTCTCCTTCGTGACTGTCTCATTCATTTTACATACTCTTTCCTGGAGAAAAGCTAATTCCTCTCCTTCGTGACTGTCTCATTTCAATTTACATGCTCTTTCCTGGAAAAAGGCTTTAATTCCTCTCCTTCATTGTCTCATTCATTTTACATACTTTCCTGGAGAAAGGCTTTAATTCCTCTCCTTCGTGACTGTCTCTTCTTTTTACTTCTTTTTTTTCTTTCTTTCTTTCTTTCTTTCTTTTCATTCGTACATGCTGTCTCATTCTTTTAATTTCTTTCTTTCTTTCTTTCTTTTTTCATTTTATACATGCTGTCATATTCTTCTAATTCTTCTTCTTCTTCTTCTTTTCTTTCTTTCTTTCTTTCTTTCTTTTCATTTATACATGCTGTCATATTCTTCTAATTCTTCTTCTTCTTCTTCTTTTTCTTCTTTCTTTCTTTCTTTCTTTTCTTTCTTTCTTTCAATTCTTCTTCTTCTTTTCTTTCTTTTTTTTTCTTTCTTTTCATTTATACATGCTGTCATATTCTTCTAATTCTTCTTCTTCTTCTTCTTTTCTTTCTTTCTTTTCTTTCTTTCTTTTCATTTATACATATTCTATTTCTAATTCTTCTTCTTCTTCTTCTTTTCTTTTTCTTTCTTTTCTTTCTTTTCATTTTTATACATGCTGTCATATTCTTCTAATTCTTCTTCTTCTTCTTCTTTTCTTTCTTTCTTTCTTTCTTTCTTTTCATTTTATCATGCTGTCATATTCTTCTTAATTCTTCTTCTTCTTCTTCTTTTCTTTCTTTCTTTCTTTCTTTCTTTCATTTTTCCATGCTGTCATATTCTTCTAATTCTTCTTCTTCTTCTTCTTTTCTTTCTTTCTTTCTTTTCTTTCATTTCATTTATACATGCTGTCTTATTCTTCTTTTCTTCTTCTTCTTCTTCTTTCTTTCTTTCTTTCTTCTTTCTTTTCTTTTCATTTTGCTTGTCATATTCTTCTAATTCTTCTTCTTCTTTTTTCTTTTCTTTCTTTCTTTCTTTTCATTCATACTGTCATACTTCTGCTATTCTTCTTCTTCTTCTTCTTCCTTCTGCTTTTCTTTTTTCTTTCTTTTTTCTTTTCATTCACACATCCTGTCATTCTTCTTCTTCTTCTTCTTCTTCTTCTTCAATTCTTTTTTCTTTCTTTAATTTTTCTTTTCCTTCACACATCTTGTCATTCTTCTTCCTCTTCTTCTTCTTCTTCTTCTTCTTCTTCTTCTTCTTCTTCTTTTCCTTTCTTTTTTCTTTTCATTCACACATCTTGTCATTCTTCTTCTTCTTCTTCTTCTTCTTCTTCTTCTTCTTCTTCTTCCTCCTCCTCCTTCTCCTCCTCCTCCTTCTTCTTCTTCTTCTTGTATCTCGTCTTTCTTTTACATTGTCTATTTTTTGCCTCATTGCCTCCGTTACTCTTCTTCTTCTGTCATTCTCCTCTTCCTCCCCTTCCTCCTACTCTTCTTCATTCTATTATTTCCCCTTCGCTTCTTTCTCGCCCTTCTCTTCCTCATCCTCTTCTTCTTCTTCTTCTTGTACCTCATCTTTCTCTTTCATTGTCTATTTCAAGCCTCACTGTCTCTGCTTCTTATTTTTCGTTTTTCTCCTCCCCTTTAACTTCCCCTTCTTCGCCTCCTTCTTATTTTTTGTTATTCTCCTCCTCCTTCTCCTCTTCTTCTTTGCGCCCTTCGTTGTGGTTTTCATTTTTCGTCATTCTCCTCGTCCCCCTCCCCTTTTTGCCTCCTTTGTTTTTCTTCTTATTTTTCGTCATTTTCGTCCTCTTCCTCCTCCTTCCCTTCTTTACCTCCTTCGTTTTTCTTAGTTTTCGTCATTCACCTCCTCTTCCTCCTCCTAATCCTCCTTGCCTTCTTTGCTTCCTTCGTTTTCCTTTTTTTATTATTAACCTCCTCCTCCTTCTCCCCTTCGCCTTCTTTGCCTTCTTCGTTCTTCTTATTCACAGAAATCAAAACAAGAATTATTCTAATTAAGCAACATTGTTCTTTCTCTCTGTCTTTCTTTCTTCTTCTTCTTCTCCTTTTCTTTCTTCTTTTCTCTTCTCCGTCGCCATCTTTGCCTTTATTTTTTTTCCTAATATTCACTACATATTATCTCGTCACACACTTTGTCTTTTTTGGGTTTTGTTTTCTCTCTACACTCAATAAAAATACATGAAGCGCTCAATCACGTCTTCCCGACATCATTAAACTTTGTCCAACAATCGGGTGCGTGGAGGGGGAGCAGTGGGTAGATCTGAAAACATAGATAAATAGGTGAGATTTTGTGCGTGAGCCATTAAGTAGAGCTCACTCCCTGTACATATTACTTACTAATTGTGGCTTAGTATGACACAAGGCCATGTGTAGGAAAGAAGGTTGTCTTACAGCATGTTCTCAAGGCTTAACTGCATTTTAAATCTGCCTATTATTCGCATGCACACAAGCATTGACCTCTAGTACCGATGAAAAAAATAACTGTTTGTAGTTTAACTATTAACACCATAAAAGTATAGATGCGGATTATCTGCAGTAAAAGTATTATACTAAAGAAACAAGCCAGAATAAATAAAATATATTTCATTAGGATGGTATATTAAAATATGTAGTATAACAATGTTAATAAAATAAAAAACGTCTTACCTTTTGCCGGCATCTTTTGTCTTCCGATTTTATCAAGGCAAAATCAAAGCGAAATGTGTTTTTTTTCCATCGTTATATTAAATCCAAATTTAAAAAGAGAGAGATTCTTTTGCATAAGCCTCTCTCTCTCTCTCTCTCTCTCTCTCTCTCTCTCTCTCTCTCTCTCTCTGGCTAATGTTAACTTCCTTTATACTAAAAGTTTCTTTTTTTCCAGGTCGACTATATAATAAAATTTCCGAAACTATTCTGGGGATTAGACAAATTGATGAGGCTGACATTAGCCAGAAAGAGGCTTACACAAAAGCCTGCCAGTGTCTCAGTCTCTCTCTCTCTCTCTCTCTCTCTCTCTCAGTCTCTCTCTCTCTCTCAGTCTCTCAGTCTGTCTCAGTCTCTCTCTCTCTCAGTCTCTCTCAGTCTCAGTCTCTCTCTCTCAGTCTCCCAGGTCTCTCTCTCTCTCTCAGTCTCTCAGTCTCTCTCTCTCAGTCTCTCAGTCTCCCTCTCTCTCTCTCTCTCTCAGTCTCTCTCTCTCAGTCTCTCAGTCTCCTCTCTCTCTCTCAGTCTCTCAGTCCTCCTCTCTCTCTCAGTCTCTCAGTCTCTCAGTCTCTCAGTCTCTCTCAGTCTCAGTCTCTCTCTCTCAGTCTCTCAGTCTCTCTCACTCTCAGTCTCTCTCTCTCAGTCTCTCAGTCTCTCTCTCTCTCAGTCTCTCTCTCTCTCAGTCTCTCTCTCTCTCAGTCTCTCTCTCTCTCAGTCTCTCAGTCTCTCTATATCAGTCTCTCAGTCTCCCTCTCTCTCTTTCTCTCTCTCTCTCTCAGTCTCTCTCTCTCTCAGTCTCTCAGTCTCCTCTCTCTCCTCAATCTCTCGGTCTCTCTCTCTCAGTCTCAGTTTCTCCCTCAGTCTCTCTGTCTCTCTCCCTCTCAGTCTCTCTCTCTCAGTCTCTCTCCCTCTCAGTCTCTCTCTCTCTCAGTCTCTCAGTCCCTCTCTCTCTCTCAGTCTCTCAGTCTCTCTCTCTCTCTCAGTCTCAGTCTCTCTCTCAGTCTCTCTCTCTCAGTCTCTCTCTCAGTCTCTCTCTCTCTCTATCTCAGTCTCTCTCTCTCTCTCTCTGTAAATAAATAAAAAAAAAACATTTCGCTTTCATTTTTTCCTTGAGAAATTCTAACAAAGGTAGGAAAAGAAAACTAGAGAACACTAGAGATGTGAAAATACTGCGGAAGGTGCTGGAGATTTGTAAAAAAAAAAAAACACTTGCAAAAGCTCCAGCTATAATCACCGGATATTTGATAGGCATATCAGAATACTATAAGTTGTAATCCAAACGAGCGTTTTGTTCTTCGAAAGTTCACCGAATAAAAGGCACGAGAGCAATTCAGGGTAAAGGTTTAATGTTAAACTGGTTATGGCGAATGATGTGTGCGGTAGAAAATGAAGATTATGAGAAGAAATAAAATTAATAAACAGAGTAAACTTTCTCTTTTTTTTAAATCAATTCCCGCCAAGCAAGGTGATAATGCCGCTAAGACGCAAGGAGCTACAGTGAGCGAAAATAAATGAAAATATTTTATAACAACAATTTCAATCCGAAACAGAAAACTCCGTCCTGGGGATGACGATAAACTACATCCCGCGTCCTGGGTAAGACGATAAACTACGCCCAGCAGCAAGGTCTCTGATTAGGAGGTTTTGGGAAGGGTGGAACCACCTCTTAATTGCTGGCGTTCCCAGGTCCACCCTGACCCGGGGTGGTAGCACCTGTTAGGGTGCCTGCTATGGGCAAATAGTTGACATGCAAACTTGTTTTTAATACCAGAAATAATTTGTAATAAAAAAAATATTACCAGCAATAATTTTTGAAGGAAAAATTATTATCAGCAATATTTAAAAAAAAAATACCAGCAATACAAACAGCTATACATTCTTTGAAAAAAAATATGACCAGCTATAGA